GTGGGGATAGATAAATTGCTAAATAAAACTGAGATATGCGGAAACAGGTGTGGCATCGATAAGTATGAGTCACGCGAGGAAGATCTGGACGCGTCATTAATTGGACGATTGATTCACTCACTTGTCCCTCGGACGACAGATTCTCCGCACTGGCACTCAGAGACATTCTAACTTGTCCGCGGCACCTTTTACAGGAATGAGACACGGCTCGTTCAAACAGCGTTAAAAAGAAGTAGCCGTACTATCGGTTCGTGAAATAATCGCAGTTGTTCCTCGCAGCATGACACTCGGGCACTCCGATTGTGGAAAGCAGCTCATAATCGCGGCATTCTTCGAGCATACCACACTCGATCCTTTTACTCCGAAACGAAGAGCACCTCCGACTCCAAACGATCCTAAGGGCGTCCAAACAAATGGCGCCGTCGGTATCACCGAACCCAGATCGTGGAATCTCTCGACGCATGCGTGCCCCTCCCTCCCCATTTTTTTCACGCATGCGTACAATATCCGTTGACTTGTGTGCAGCTTATTATCGAATTCTTTCCGAGTGAGAAGGTGAGATGATCAAATATATAGGGTGTCCAGTAATTTTTTTTCTAATAACGCTCGTGTATATAATACACTTTCTCCTTTCGTATGTACATTAATTACTATAAATATTTTGATTTTAATCTTTTAATAACCTGTTTTAGATAAATTCATGAAAGAAAGAATTACTTCGAGTATACGAAATTAAATAATATTTTTAACGTTATTCTTTTAACGTATTTCTTTCTCTGGACACGTGCAAAATAAATTGGGCCCAGATTTGAGTCGATAGAAATGCGACAAATTGCGCTCATTTCAATTTCGCTTCGATCCACAAATCTGATCGAAGTGGAAGCGAACTGATACAAAATTTAATCGATGGAAACGATTGAGAGTAGATAATATCAACCTTACTTTTCATAACAGTAATAATCGTTCATTATGTATCAGTAACCATTCTGTATAATTGATTAATTTAACAAAATTATTTTAAAATCCATTTTTTACACAACTATAAGTGTAACTTATATATGTTATTCTTCAGAGGTTATATTTGTTATATTCAACAAACAGAAGTTATGTTGGTACTACTGAAATCAGTCAGTTTTTCTCACTTCTACTTTACTTCCGATAGAAACAGCATATTAAATTTGATCCGAACTGAAGTAGAATCGAATTGAAGACTTTGATGGAAACTAAACCATTGTTGATTATTCACCTCACACTTGATTGTGATTGGCCAATTTCTTACAGCCCACATTACTTCTATTGTAGATGGCCCTTCATATTTGTTGTACGATAAATTTTTTAAGCGTATTGATTGGCAGGATAGAGCAATTCTTCAGTCTTTAGAAATTTTTTATTCTGCAGCATTTTAATCAACACGCTTAAAAAATTTGTCATACGATAAATGCAATGTTTAGTTCATCATAGAGAGGAATCCGATAGCACACAACGCTGATTGGCCAATTAAATATAAAATTTTCTGATTGGTAGTTCATTGGAACATTTCCAAACAGCAGCTGATGTGTGTGGATGTGTGCTATCGCACTGTGCGCTAACGGAATTCTCCCCTATCTCATATGTGTCGATGTGAGCATAGAGATGGCGCGAACTTCTGCGCTCAAAAAGGATTCAATTAATAAATGTATCGAAAATTCTAGGGAGTGCAAGCAACGCGAATAAACCGTCGTATTTAGCGACACTCCCGCTAGGGAAACATTTTTTGACGAATCGTTTGCCATACGTCGTGTTTACGTATTCTTTTCTTCGTGGAGTATGCCTCTTGCTGGCATCGGCACGCGAAGGGGAGAGAATTCGTTAGCAATGTTTTCTCGAGGATCGTCTACGAAGCTCACCTCGCCGATTTGTTCATGTGTCCGTAATTGTTCGTCAAGTGGCGAGGTCGCGTAGTAGTAGTAATAATAATAATAATAATAACAGTAATGAATTAGTGCGACACAGCAATTATCCAGCATCGTCCCGCGAAGATTTTCATAACCTCCCTACTGAGGTGTTCTCATCTCACCAGCTTGTCGTAAGAGACGCCCGCATAGCTTAAGAGAGATAGCTTAAGAGAGTAAGAATTTGTTTGGCGAAAATTAATTTGTGAACCTTAACTCATTCATATAATAAGCTTTTTGAACCGGCGATGAGCGACAATAAGCAGGTAGGTGAAACTCCCAGTAGCGAGGTTGCTAATCGATTTCGAAGCTGTAGGGATCTGAGCGACATTGTACCGTTGTATCCGTCGCGCGCGCTTTATCTCAAACCGCTTGCCAAAGTTAACGTGTCGGTCAGTCTGCCCCAACTGAAGACTCCAGGTAAAACATTATCATCGTCATCTTCATCTTCATCTTCATCTTCATCTTCATCTTCAATCTTTTCATCTTCTTCATCTTCATCATTATCATCATGGTCATTATTATCATGGTCATTATTATCATGGTCATCTTCATCATGTCATTGTCATATCATTGTCATTATTATTATTATTATTATTATTATTATTATTATTATTATTATTATTATTATTATTATTATTATTATCATCATCATCATCATCATCATTATCATCATCAGTATTAGCTTTCTTTAGAGGATGGATTATAATTTTTCTTTCTACTTTCCTTTATCACTTTTCCCTTTCGTTTTCAATTAAAATATTACATAACAACATATCGATGATATATGTTTTGATTTATTGCAACAAAAATTATACGATTTAGATATCTTGTAATTTGGACTGGGAATAAAGAGTTAAAAAAAAAAAATTAGTGCAATATGAGCCAAGACAGTTGATAGAAACTTGAGCAACAAATTATTTAACTTTTTGATGTTTCTAGTTTATTGATTATGTTTTAACTTTTTTGCTTAATACTTTTTCTACTTGTATATTTTAAATACATAATTATTTACAATAACTGATGATAAAAAACATTTTTTTTATTGATAGTGTTATGACTATAGTTGCCGCTTTTTCGATTCTCCAAATAATCTCTGGCTAATCATTTTGAATTTTCATGATCTTTTTCGAAATTAAACAATAGGATATAAATAATAATTTTCGATATTTTCTTTGAAAAAAATCCTATAACAGATTTCATTTTCATAAAAATGACAGGACATAGTAAAAAGATGTAGTAACAAGATATTAATGTTCCATTGGTAAGTTGGAGTTTTGAAGGCACATCAGAAGTTGATTCTTTGTAAATTTTAGATAAATATAAAATATTGTCAGTAATTTATTTTTTGAAAATATTTTTCGAAAGAGAATATTCTCGAGACTTTGAATATTCATTAGACATAAAAATTTTGGAAAATACATCTTTTCTATGTTGGACAATTTTATATTGCAACTTTTATATTGTAACATAATTTAAAAGTATAAAACTTTAATTATCTTATATTATAATTGATCTTGAAAAAAAATAAGTTGTATAAGTTGTAAATAAAAATTCTAGTCTAACAGTTAAACAAAGTTCAACAGAATTGTAGAGTTCAGAATTGTAGAATTAATTAGTGAATTATGTAGAAATAATAGAAATATTAAATTAATGAACTGTATAATTTATAATTATAATTGTTATAATTTAATGTTTAACAGTTAAGCATTAAAATATATTACAAAATTAATTATTACAAAATGAAAAATAAAACAAAATAACAAATAACATAATTAAATCAATATAAATGACTAACAGCACTATCATTTATCACCGATGATATGTTTGAAAACCTTATCCTAACATTCAGATAACATTCTTGACCAACCAAGGTAAAGGATTAAAGATTCTTTTATTCTGATTGAGTAATAAAAGCTATTTTACTCGATAATTTTTTCTCGTATTATTTTCAAAGATAATGTTTCACTGAGAATACTTTTTCACTGTCAGAGAATATTCCTGATAAGTATTATTAAATATTGTGTTATAATATTAAATAAGTGTTATTAAATATAATATTGAATTATACAGTAATTTGATAATTTAAGCTTTGATAGTATTCTTTGTAAATTACCATTCTTAAAGAATTACCGTTCTTCCTTTGGAGACTCAATAATAAGCCATCTTTAATTTTAGAGTAACTGCTGAGTGATGGAACTTAGTATTCCTATTTGAAATATTTTTACGATGATAAAAATTTTTTATTAAAGATTTCACAAATATACGAGAAATATTTTCAGATTTTTATTTGATGTTATATTAGATTTTTATATTTTATATATATAAAACCCGGAAGTGAAAAAAAATTGCTTCAGTGACATAGCTCCAAGTTGCTGATGGAAATTGTAAATTGTTCAACAGTTAATATGATGAATGAATTTTTGTACTCAACATTTTTACTTTTTTTCTCTTTTCTTAAAGAGACTTTACTTTTGTTAGAACATTGATTTAAAGGTGGCTCATCATAGCTATAATCATAGCTATAAGGCGTATTTAAAAAAAAAAGAAATAAAACATTCTTCTATTTATGAAAATTTTAATATATATATATATAAAGTTAAAAATTAAAAGAAATATGTATATATATTTCTTTTAATTTTGTTTTATTAATAATCTTCATATTTTAAAGTATTTTTCAAAATCAATTAAGATGTCCTGTTTACTATGCACTACCATTGCACACTATAAAGTTTTTTTTGTGATACATTTATTAGAATATATTTTTGTTAATAAAATTATAACCATTCAACATTTTTTTTTAATAAAATTAATTAAATTCTAAAAATTTGATTTATCAAGTGAGATTGTGACAATGAAACTTACAGGAAGAGAAGGAGAAGGAGGAGGAGGAAAAATCTTCTTCTTTTAATAAAATTGAAATTATAGAAGATTAGAGCTATTATATAATTTTAGTTTTAATTTTGAAATTGCAAAAGGTATATTTTTTTAAAGGATAATATTTAATTTTTAAGTTTTTAAATTGTTTTTTATATATAATTTTCTCTTTTATAAAATATAATATTTTATACAATTTATATCTAATATTAATTTCAACGTGCATCTTCCTTATTGTTGTTTAACGCTTTGTTATGTTTGTCAACATTTATTTGAGCAATAATAATCCATCGGTTTGACACGTGAAAATTTTTCCTGCTTATTTATTAAATTGAAATTAATTTTCCTTGCGAGAGTTAGTAACATAAAGTTATTGCAAATCTGTCACAATTATATATTTGCGTTTATGCTATCGGCAGTCTCTAGCGGAGAATGACAGCAGAATAACGTAGCATTCAACCGTCGGAAGAGACAGTACCGTGATCCCAAGTGATCTGTGCGATGCCACAAGCACTTGTAACAATTTAGTAAAGATAGCTTCTTACAGAAACTTAACTGCGCTATGAACAGGCAAAACAATATCGACATGGGAGGTAATGGAGAAGATACGCGCGCTTATACTGCCAGACGAATTCGCAACTCTGAAAGTAACAAAGAGCACCCTGGAATTCATCCGGTTAGAAGGCGACCTGCGGGACCGGTGCAGGTTACCAAGGGTGCTAGCCAGACTGGACTCGCAGCAATTAAATTTGGCCGGCTTCCCCAATGTTCTCAAAGTAAGTGCAGTCTGCAATCGGTACAAGTAAGGGTTTAATTGCATAATTCCGATCAAGCGTAGCGCATGAGATTCATAGTTTTACTAGAGGGACTAATTAATGTTTGAATTTTTCATCATTAAGGTCCGTGCAGCCGAGGCGAAGGACGACTTCCCAACCAGACACAGTTGGAACTCCTACTTCAGGGATGCGAAACACATGAACGAGTTGAAGGCCGGCGAAAGACCAGACACTATCCACATTACCGGTCTGCCGGTTAAATGGTTTATCGAGGATGATGCGAATGTACCCAGCGAGTCGCTAATTACCAAGATATTCAAGAAATGGGGAACACTGAGGAGAGTCGATGTACCCGCCGCGGATCCCTACAGGTCTAGAATGCGGCTTGGCAATAATATTCATAAATTTAGTTACGAGGATGGTATATTTTTCGATGTGTACGTGCAGTATGTTGAATATATGGATTTTGTTAGAGCTATGGACGCTCTGCGCGGTATGAAGCTGTTGAAAAAGGATGACCAAAATTCACTGACCGCAACAATAAAGGTAATTTTCAAGGGAAAAATCTAGTGTTCAGCATTATAGTGATTAATACTGTTTTGCTGTTTATTTATTCATATTAATAATTACGCCCGAGAAATTGAGAATTGAGCCTTCGCTTTATATACTCGCGCACTCCTGCATGGGGAGAATTTCGATACATCCATTCAATTGGTGTTTAGGAATTTTTCATGGAATGGATCATCAGAAAATTTTATATTTAATTGGCTAATTAGCAACATGGATAATCTACTTTCCGAATAAAGAAAACATTGTTTACAAAAAAACACTCCTTTATTAGCATAATTTATACAGAACGAAATCTAAAGAAAAGAGCAGAAAGAACCGGATCACGTTCGGTCGACTTGTTATGTCCAGTTCAAAATGATGACCGTTTGACCACTCGATCTTTCGTTATCTAGAAAACATGTTTGTTGATTTCTTTTCGTTAGTAGCTTGATCCAGTGAGCCTAGATTCAATTCAGCACGAGCATAATAATATAACCTTTTTGGAATTTATTACAAATTCAATTAAAAAATATAGATTTTATGCGGAATAGATAAATGAGGAATAATTAAATCGAATTATTTGTTGACAAGCGAAATGATTTTGTGTAGGTTGATTTCGATAAGACTAAACATTTGAGCGACAATTCGGTATCGCACCGAGAATTTGAAAGGAAACGTTTAATAGCACAAGATAATTTAGCGGCTGAGAAACTTCGTAAACGAGAGGAAGAGGAAAAAAAGCGACAAGAAGAACAAAAGTAAATATTATAATAATAAAAATGCTTAAGATATATTCTGTAAATGTGATACTACATTTTGCAAATTATTTTTATATCTTTATCTCTATCTTGACTCCAGAAAAAAGGAGGAGGCAGATTCGATAGCGAAAGTAAATCGACAACGAAAACGGGAAGAGAAACGAAAACGGAAGGCCCTCACAAAGTTTCGTAAGCAAGAAGAAGACAAAGTCTCGATGAAGATTGCCAGAGAAGAACAGAAGTTAATAAAAGCTCAAAGGCAATTGGAAAGCATACGATTGTTAGATGAATTGTTTGACAGAATAAAGGTGAGTAATAAAAATAATATGTAATAAATTTTTTTAAAGAAGAAAGAAAATTAAAAATTCGTAAACATCAATATCTTCAATCACAGACAAAAGTGGAGAGGAAAGAGATTAAGCTAGATCAAAACGTAAATACGGAAAAGAAAAGTGATCAGACAAGTGAAAATACTAAGAAGATAGATTCGGAGAATGATAAGAAAAATAAGGAGAAACAGATCAAGAAGAAAAAGACGAAAAAAGAGAAAAAGAAAAAGGTGCTTAACTCTTTTATCATTGAATATTATAATATAAAATTTGTATTATTTATTTTTCTTGCAACTCAACATTTAAGAATTAACGCGATTAAATAATATTGCTGTTTACAGAAAAAGCAAAAGAAAATACAAAAAAACGAAAAAAGATGATTCTGATTCGAATAGTTCAACCGAAAAAGAATCAGATGCAGATAAAAATGCAAACAAAAAAAAGCTTAAAAGTGTTTTAATACAGAACAATAGTGCGACTTCGTCTACAGGTAAATCTTGATTATATAAAATTTTATTGTAATTATGGAATAAATTGTACAAATGTAATAAAATAATATTAATTATAGGTATTTCAGCCGCAAGTCTTCCTTATGACTATTCTGATTCTATTTCGATGTCGAGAATACCAATATTACCATCGATGACGCCCTTTCACAGGCTGAGAATGTCAAGATATTCGAGAAAATTGCTGAGATCGGAATATCCTGCGATGTCGATCCATTCCATGTTACCTACGGGCAGGGGTCGGAGATTTATTCCGCGATATGAAAATTATGCTATGACAAATCCTTACTTGTATAATGGAGAATACTACGAATATTTTACACATCTAGTTGAGCGAGCGAAACAACGAGAGTCAAAGGCACTTGATCGTCGAAAATCCAGTAGATCCGCTTCAAGAACGAGGAAATCAAAATCTAGAAGTGCCTCTAGATCACATAGTAGAAGACGAAGCAGTTCTAAGAGTCGCAACAGAAGGTCAAAGTCAAGATCTAGATCGCGGTCGCGCAGATCTAGATCACGGTCGCACAGATCTAGATTGCAATCGCATCGCTCGAGATCACGATCGCGACGTTCAAAGTCACGATTTAGAAGTCGTTCTAGGTCGCACAGCCACCGAAAATCGGCAAATAGATCCGCATCGAGGAGAAGAACAAGAACAAGATCGAACTCGAGAACAAAGCGCAAAAATAATAGATCAAAATCAAGTTCTAGAACGCGTCGTTCTAGGTCCAAACGAAAATCGCGATCTAGGAGTCGCTCTAAGTCCCGTGATAGGAATCGTTATAGAAGACGCGGAGAAAGATCATCTTCTGTCGTCAAAGTTACGCGAGCGAAATCACGACCCGTGTCTCCTAAACGGAGATCACGCAGTAGTTCTTGGTCTATGCCGAAATCGCCGGGTCGTAGAAGTTGCTCTTGGTCAAGAACTGCATCAACAAATAATGTTAGCGAGCAAGATATGAGCAAGACATCTGAAAAACATATTCAAGAAGAAACAACGAAATTGGCGGAAATACAAAAGGAAGGGAATTAATAAAACTTAGTATTGATTTTATTGAAATATGTCAATAAGAAGAAATTAAAAAAAAAATACTGCTATAAAAAATAATGAAATACAGACTTTTAGTATGTTTACTGCACAATATAAATATCTGAAAACATTTCGTGTAGATAGAACTTCTTTCTTGTACATAATATGTAAATAATTACGTAATATGTAATAATATGTTATAATCTGCCGTTTTCTTGTGTATTTTTATACTTAAACTATATAAACTTTTAAAATTAAGATTTTTGTTTGACAAGTTTGTTTGACAAATTTATAGTAAAATTAATTTCGATAAAGCCGTATTAATTTCGATTAATTAACTGAAACGGAAAATGAGAAATGATTTAAATGATGTATCAGTATAAAAGATATTTCTCCACAAAGAAAAATTTTTGTTTATTTTATACATTATAACTAAATTAAAATTCTTTTTGAATGATATCACTTAAATAACAAGGTTAATTATATATTGTAGGTATATTTTAATATGTGATATTAATATTAAAATATACTTATTGGAATTATGAAATGTCTTAAATATTTTACAAATTAGTTCAACATATATGTTCAATATATTAGTTCAATATGTATGTATGAAGTCCTATGTGTATTAGCCGCTTATGTTTCATATTTCCGTTGCAATTGCAACAAAATAAAGAAAAGCAGAACAAAATGTATTTCTAGAGAAACAGTATGCAAATAAAAGATATTTAATTCAATATACATGATATATCAACGATATACATACACACACATACATAAAAATAATCAAATACAGTTTATTATAAAATATAAGCATGTTGTATTATTTTTAGACATTTATTTTATTTATTTATTTATTTGCTCTTTTCTTGTTTAAACTTTTCTGTTAAAAAAATAGAGTGTACTAGCAAATGATCAAGATGTAAGTTTACTCTTTTAAGTTTTCTGTTTTATATATTTTGAATTGTATAAAATAATTTTTGGATGCCTAAATGTTTAAAAAAGGGAGTTGCATTTATAATTCTTTTGCATTTTGAATGATTTAAAGTAATTGATCGAAAATAATTTTAAAAATCTATTTTTAAATTTGATTTGTCACCTGATAATATCTTCTATTCTAGCCTTGATTTAAAATAGAAGCGAGTAAAAGATGAAAGATGAAATAAAAGATGAGAAATTGTGTGTGATATCATGTAACGTCAACATTCTTTGTAAAATTATATTTTTTTCATTTTTATATATTTTTTGTAGAAAATTATTTAGAAAAGAGATGGACAAATAAATAATTTTTAATCTAATTTGTTTAAATTTTTGTAAAAATAAATAGCTATGATTTTTAATTATTCACGGTTTTGAAAAGTAATAATTTTATCACAAGTTACGAGTAATTTATACTATAAGTTATGCATAAAATTGCAAAAAATTTTGTTTACAGTTGAAATTCAGAAGTTTATTAAAAAAAAGGTATCGATAAAAATGAAATCATTTATATGTGAGGAGGATTATAAGATGTAAAAATGATTCATTTATATTAATTCAGTAATCAGAGAAAGCAAGCAAAACAGAGATAATTTCATTATACTACACTATTCTCTTATTAAAATTTCTTTCCTACAGTAATTTATTTCTTCTTGCTTTATGTTATCATATCATTGTTAGCAAAGCAATCTCAGGGATTGATTGACAGGGTGGAAATAATAAAAAGCATCCATAACGCAATCCTTTCGACTTGCAAATTTATTTGTTCTCGGCATGAAAACGCATTGGTTCATAGACATCGTAATTTAGTTTACATACGCGCGTTCCGTCCCCCGTTAATAATGATCGATCAGCTTCGTGATTAACGCTAGTTTTTAAAGAGTATCGACCGGGGCCCTATTTTTAACGCGAGATTAACGCAATTTAATCGGTCGCTTAGTGCCATGGCGTTCGTTTAATATTTTCTCTCCTTTAAAAAATATGCGCTACGTTTCTGTCGTCGCTATTATAATTAAATACACGTGACGTATGTACACACTTCCTCGCATTAATCGCACCCCCACTATTTTTTTTATGGCAAACTCGTCGCAACGCTCTCCACCGTTGATGTCGATCGAGTCTCTAATAATGGAAGATACTTAATCGTTTCTCCGTCGAAAAATCCCGTTCTCTCTCGCTTATTAAATTTACTGGGGTTATGCTTCCCTCCCTTCGTCACCTTCCATTTAATTATCCCCTAAGAGAATTGATCCTATCCTCGGAATTGATTAGATATTGACTACTTTCAAGATTCGTTGCGTGGGATTTGTTCCTTAAAGCGACGCGGGCGATAGCGCGATTCATATCCTGTCCGTTTCTAAATTATTTATCATGATTATAATAACATTCCACGTATAATGACATTCCACACATTAATATATCAGTAACGAGTTTCGACTTCACTCTTGAAATACTTTGTGTAACGCAAGTTTTTGTTTTTGTATCGTATATGTATCATATGTTCATACAAAATTCTCATCATAAGTATAAATATTTAATCTAAAAACAAATTTTGCCCGATAAGAATTTTGTTGGCAAAATACCAACGAAAATATAACAAAACTCGTTGGTGGAGTATAATGGCAGATTGATTATAAAATCCGAGTGGAATCCGTCATTTTATATATAATAATCATTCAAAAAAAGACTCGAACATATCGTATGTTTGATTTGTTAGAATAGTTCGAAGTCAAAAAAAACGAATATTAAATTCGAATAATTCGAATTTAAGCAATATAATGATCGCTTTGTCAATGTCAATGTATTTATTATTTTTTGCGAAGTTGAACAGTTTGTGGATAATAAAGAATATTGAAAATACAATACACTAGAAATAAAAGAACAGTTTTTTTTTACGAGTCTCTTATTTTTAATTTCATGCGTTATATTATACTGATCTGAAGGTAGTTTAAATTTGAATTATCTTACTGGTTTCCTGGAATATATCTTCAGTTTGAAAGATTAGAATTATTTAGCGTTGGATCTCGAAATTTGAATTGTTCAATAGTCTGACATTTCCGAGTACTAATTTAAATGACTTATTCTAATTTTAATTGCTTACAAAATTAAATTCTATTCGACTTCTGTTAGCAATCTATTTTCTGATTATGTCGGAGGATCGATAAAACACGAGCCGACATATTAATGCGAACGCATTATATTAATTTGTCGCAAAATTTTGCTCAAATTTACCAGAAAAATTTACTAGAATTGTCAGCATATTGCTATAAATAAAATTTGCTACAATAAAAGGTAATTATATGTGCATATGCACGCGGCATAATAAACAATTGAAAATTGGCAACAAATGACAACATAGCGCGAAATTTAATTGATTAAAGCAATTAATAAAAAGAAAGAAAACGATTTTACAATTTAGATAGTAATCTCGTGCGAGGATTGCACTTCTCTTTAGTATTCAAAGAGTCAAGTCTCGGGGTTGGCACTCAAATGGCTCTGAATGAAAAGTAAGTCCTTTCACCAGGATCCCGACGATCCTGATGCAGAATGAGCGCTATCGTCCGCGGGAATTTTTTGTTAAGAGTGAGAACCTCAGCGTCGTCTTACATCGTTCAAGTCTAGGAATCACAGAAACGCCTGACTGTTTCGACAAGCGACTCTCGTCGCGTCTCTCGATGTGAGAGAAAGAGAGAGAGAGAGAGAGAGAGAGAGAGAGAGAGAGAGAGAGAGAGAGAGAGAGAGAGAGAG